TTGTTTAGCCTGTAGGGAAGAGACCGCTTTGAGGGACTTGGTCATAAATGGAGAGTGGTGTTAAAATATATCTTTAAAATTTTAAATGTGATGATTTCAGCTGTGTTCCGTTGCCTTAGAAGTGTTCAATGGCAGACGCTTGTGAATGCTGAAATTAATATTTGGGTTGCATAAAAGGTGGGGAATTCCTTCAGTAGCTGTGCACCTATTGCTACTCAGGATTCTACTCCATGCAGTAAATACCAGTCTGGAACTTGAATTTCATTCCTTTCATCACCGTTTTTTTTTGGGGGGGGGGGTCATTAGTAAATACTATTTTCACCCCCCTGTGCCAAATTCTTATCCCATATTTCTGCAGACGTCCGCCTGTTTTCATTTGATCTCGTTAAGAGACCTTTAGGCCTCTCGTTGTTGTTACTACATATATTAAAGATTTAAATTTATGTAAAATGTAGTAATTCAAGCTATTAGTGATACTTGTGTAATTGTAAAGCTTTACAGAAATTGTCACTTCGTGATATTATTTTTCTACTTTTACTGTAAATTGTTTCATATCAACTTGCTGACATCCACACTACTCTATTTGTATTCTTACTGTCATAATGAATGTACATATAATTCACTTTACTGTACTGACGCTACCTCTTCAATCTCTAAAAATAAAGCTTATTCTTTCACAAAGTAGCCAGATTTTTTGTTTTTGGACACAGTGCGTGCTACCACTTTCTCTAATTCCTTCGCCCTCAGAAGGCAGATAAAATCATACATTTTGCATGTAAGGGAAGAATCATGCATGCAGACTGCATTTAAATTAATATAGGACATAATTAAGTATGAAACTTTATTAACACTGCTTTAGCAATTACTTCAATAAATGTGTATGATATTAAAAGAATATGAAACTAAAAGAAAATTGCCCCAGATTAACACCAAGGTAAAGGTGGAGACAATAAGTTGTGTCAGGTGCCATATAAAATGTTAATGTCTAAGTGAAAATTTATATGAAATATCCTTCATAAGAAGCTGATCAGAAATGATTCAGCTGTGTCCCATTAAAGAACTGCAAAATTTGCTTTGCTGAGAGAAGAGATTTATTTTTTAAGCTTCTTTTAGTAAACTATATGTATCCGATTCAAATACAGTAATAAGAGACCAGTTCTCAGGAGTATAAACATCATGCCAGAGGAGACCAAGAAAGTTGCAGTTATTCATGGTATATATAAATGGAAAGGTAAAAAGTTGAGGGAACGGATTTATAATATTATATTTAAGCATCCTCTTACACTCTGTACAATATATGATATAAATTCCGTCCTAAGTGCAACAATTTATTGCGGGTCTTTCGTTTTGCTTTCTTCTACACTACATGTTTCGGCCGCAAACGTAGTAAAGATAAGCAGCGGCACGCACACAGGGAGCCTACACAGAATAACACCTGCACAGTGCTGAAAACAAGAAGTAGCCACTGCAGCACTATAGACGTGGGGCGAGTAACCCTGAGAATTTTAAATTTTAAAATTTGGAAAAAATTTTAAAGGAATTTCCTAAAATTGGAACTGAAGATTTCAGAAGTGCCAGTTTATGAATGTCAAAATTGACATGTGTGGGTGACAAAGATGATGGACGAATCAGACAAATATCAGCGAAGTAGATCCTGTTAGCCAGTTGGGAAGACTTATGTGTTTTTAAATTTTAAACTGGGTGCAGTGTAACAGCTTTGCGAGTGTATACACCTGATGTTGGCCGTTTGCGGCCGAAACATGTAGTGTAGAAGAAAGCAAAACGAAAGACCTACAATAAATTGTTGCACTTAGGACGGAATTTATATCATATATCGAACGGATTTATATTTGTGATTGATATTTTGCAGTATCTTAAGCCAAAGACTGTAGATGTGACTGGATAGAGGATAGCCACATCTTATCCAACTTGTCAAGAGCTGCAGATACTGTTTTTGTAAATAAGACTACAAGAGGTTGATAATCTTCTTTCTGTTCTCAGACAAAATGTCCATCATTGTTGTCCGTTGGTCCTCTTACAGTTCCAGAAGATATGTTCCTTTGTTTGCAGCCCATCACCACATTCGCATTCGGCCGTGGACACAATGTTAAATTTGTTTAGGCTTGCTTTAAGACTGGTGGGTCATGCTCTTATTCATTGACACTAAGGCATTTTTTATCTCTCGGAACCACGGAGAGGAGCCATTCCTATAGTACCTTTCGGACTAGCTTTCTCCTCTGTCCCGTTTGGTCTTTTGACAAAAACCGTTAAGTTATTTGTTACCTTTCCTTTTCCACTGCGTTTTAAGATCTGCAACTGGTAGTAATAACTGACTATCTCTGCCTTCTTTGATTGCTTGCATTGCCTCCAAGTTGGCCATGTCATTAACTTCCACTCTGCAATGCCCCGGGATCCAGTAAAATTTGATTTTCTTCCCTCGCGATTTCAGTCTCTCTATTTTATCATTAAGCATTTGTATAATGTGCGATGTGTTGCTTATTGTAGAGGAGTTACTAATTCCTTTTAACACGCTTGCCGAGTCCGAGAAAATCATGAAGTTTTACGCTGACTCTATTTCTTCAATGATTTCTAATGTTTCGGCAGTTGCTAATGCTTCCGCCGTGAATGTGGACGCTCTCTTAGATATCCTGAATTTCATGCCATAACCATATTTTATATCTATTGATGCGAATCCTACGAATGGTTTGTCCTCTCTTTTTAGCCGTTCTTATGGCTGATGGCACAATTTAGCACTGTTAGAAACCGTAAAAATCAAGGAAATCGGCAGCCGATGACGTAAAGCAGGGTACTAATGGACACCAAAATTTAAAGGAGTCACGGAATCATAATGAAGCCAAGGAAAGGACAGAAGAAGAGACAATGCAACAGGCACAGTGAGAAGAACAAAATTTTGGAAATTAAGTTGCAAACAATGGAAAGGAAGACCTTGGAGAAGGTTTCAAGAGCAACAGAAATGGAAAATTCACTGACTTACGCTTTAAAATGTACTATAACGTGCTGTACAGCATCCACATAAAAGTCAAGAAGCCTGATACCCCATTGGTGGAAAGAGAAAAGGTAAAGGAGTGAGGACAGTTTGACATTTTCAATGTTATGTCTAAATCTAAGATCAGTTTCCAAGCAATTAGACAGTATGCTCAATTTATCTGGGAAATGATCTCAGAAAGAATAGAATCAAATAAAGTTTTGGACAGCCCCATAAACCAAAACGAAGGGCTAACTGCGTACTTACTGAGATACGTGTATATGGTTGTTAAAAAGGGAGTCATTAAAGATGTACCCGAGGTCATGGACTTAGAAAGTTTGACGCAACAGCTCAACTCGGATAATCAGAACAAACACTCCATACCTTTCCAGGTAACAGACGCAGTCAGACTTAAGGTGAGAGTCAAAGAGACAGACGAAGAAACTAAGGAAGAAAGATGGTTATGGAAAGAGTCAAGGGCAGTATGTTTGACGTTTAGAACTAAGGAATTGTCCCCTCATGTATAATTTTGCAATATGAAAATTGAAGTTACTACTTTTGTTGCAACAGTACGACAATGTTACAAATGTGGGAAATTCGGCCGCATAAGTAAATTTTGTACGAAGGAAAAACTAGATAATTTCTTAGGAGGCAGGCCCACTGTTTTCATGTTGTGCCGGGACAGCACTCTGCTGATTCGGTTGAATATAGTCCCGCAGACTCAGTCTGATTTATCATCGGGCCGACCGATGCTCGGGCGACGGTTAAAAGCTCTGTGGATCTATCAGTTGTTGTAACCGTTCTGTCTAAAAACGTCAACCAGGAACACCAACTCTGTCTTGAACGCATAGAGCTCTAGCTCTGTGCACCAATGTGGAAAGTACAGTTTGCTTATTGGAGTGGTGGTGGTGGGACGCAGCGTTAAGGTAGAGTTTTGTATGCTGAGGAGGTCTGCCAACAGCTACGACCTCAAGGTTCCAGGCCTCCTAAGAAATTATCTAGTTTCCTCCGGCCAGTCTAAGATAGCCTGGGACTAAGGACACCGGTTGTACACAGAAACCCCTGAGAGTGCAGCAAGTTACTTATTTATTTACTCATGGAGCTGAACCCTTCTCGAGGAGCTGCCAATTCTTCAGCTACTCAAGAATTTCCCAGCATTTTATGAAACCCAAAAGTTCATTACCGTGTTCACAAGAGCCCTCCACTGGTCCCTATCATGAGCCAGATCAATCGAATCCATACCACCCCATCTTATCTCTCTAAACTAGATCTTAGAGAGATAAGATGGGGTGGTATGGATTCGATTGATCTGGCTCATGATAACAGTGGCCTCTTTCCTTCTGGCTTTCCCACCAATATCCTATACTCTTCCTCGTCTCCCCCATTCGTGCTACATGCCCTGCTCACCTCATCCATCTTGACTTGATCATTCTAATTATACTTGGAGAAGAGTACAAGTTATATAGCTCCTAATTGTTCAGTCCTCTCCAATCCCCCCGTCAGAAAACAGGAAGCAAAAATTGAAACCGAAAAAATTAAGTTCATGATATAAAAGGAAGGGCCTAATAAGAAACACTACAATTACGGAAGAGCTGAACTCTTTAATCTAAATGCTAAAATTATAAAATCAAGATGACAATGGAAATATCTACCGCAAGGAATTGAAGGCAGGCAGGTGCCGAAAAAAATTCATACACCTAAAACGATAAACGCAGTGTATTCTGTTGAAAGAGACTTTGCTTGCCACTTGTTTCATACTGATTTCCTGCTTAGCTTATCGTTCGATCATATAGATGGGTGCAACATGTTCCTCCGAAACGTCAGATGAATTTCAATGGACTACACGGCGTTATACCGCAGAAGATAAAACTCTTCGAATATCGTCTCTATTTTACATAATCGATGACTAGCAGCATGTATTTTTAGTATACTATAGCTTCATCCTAGTGGCATGTATATAAATTAATAAGCTGTGCTTTCAAATCCAGAGGGCTAAAGCGATCGGTAAGGTCGATCAGCGTCGATCAGGTCGATGTTATGGGTCTTATGGGTGCTGTGTTATGATTTTGTAAAGAAGAGTGGGAAGTTATGTTTTGGTCTGTTTGGAGGATTAGTAGGGACTTCTTTTATTTGTGTACAACTTTGGCATATTTTATATTTGTAATTGACTGAGTTGCTGTTCCACATTTATAAGTGAAAATGGCAAAGTGGGAGGGCTTTTCAGAGGAAGATATAAAGAAAGTTGGTGCATGTGAACGTAAGGAAGGTAATGCATAGAGTTAATATGTTCGGAAACGTATCAGTGTTAACATAACAGGAACTATAAAAGAATATGCATTACTCTTTGGTAGCAAGTTGGTGGGTATGAACTCGGTAGGCCTACAAAAAGTGTAGGCTTGTTATCGTCAAAGCTTTAGAAGTGTCACGTTCCATGCCCCGGTTTAGTAATCCACGTCATGTGTATTCATTGAGAAGTGAACGCAGGCCGTGGGGCGGAAAGGTTGTTATGCATTGCGAATTTCGAAGGCACTGGGTTTCAGCGAAGATATGGTTAGGGTGGTTTAGTTTTTAATGCCCTTCAGTCTGGGTTTTATTGTAGTGCAGCACGTTTCAACATTTTGTCGGGTCGTACATGCACCCTTCAGCGTCTTCAGAGTCTTCAGAAGGCGTGCCAATTTCTTTTTAAGTTTAGGGTAATAACATTGACGTGGTGTTACAGGATGTAGAAAGTGACAGGGAAGAAAACCAAAGACCCACGAATGTAATTTGCCGTGTTTGGACTTGAGCAGAGCACATTCCAGATACAAAGATGTGAAAACCTCCAACGAAACTGTAGACATTGTTTGCTTGTTGTATCAGAGACTGGGCTTTGTTTTATTCGAGATAAGTTATAATATTTAATTGCAAAAGTCTTGAAACAAATGCGAAGTCAGAAATTAAGCTACCAGTTAAAGCATTGTGACATGTGAGTCATTTGCTAGGTACTACATGTAATTCTTCATAGATTTACATTTTTTGTGTAAAAAGCATGAGAACAGGCATTTGTTAGAGTGAAACTGGAACACCATCAGAATATGGTGATCTGCACTTAGAGATTTTACTCTGAGAGTTGGCAGGAGTATTCACTTCAGACCTCCAGCATGCTATCCACTCTCTTGTGGCAAAAATTGCTATACTAAATCCCTCACTGAAATACTAACATAATACAGTCAAAACTAAACAAACCTAACCAAACCTTTGCCAAAACAAAGTATCCAAAAATGTTGGAATCTATAACCACGTTCTGCTTTGAATTTGATACCTCAAAATGGGTGCAAAGATGTCATTATATACTGAAAGTTAGCCACAAAATTTGATATTGACATTCCACCTATAAAATCTGGAATTTTTATTGTGATTGAATGCCATCAACTTGTCTGGCAATGAGTCATTTCAGTATGGGATGAGTTCCCAATGGAAATTTATTGCATACTGGCACAGCTGATCACTTCATTGCATTCTTTTCCATTCTAAGCATTAAATCTTATTTACAAGCAGTAGCCCTTCTCTTGATTTGGTTTTTGAAAATATGAATGACAGAAACACACCCTACCTAGTCTATCAGCAAGAAGCTTTTGGTTCCAGATGGGTAAGTTGTGAATATTTATATTCTGAATTCAAGGCCATAGGTCCAGGCCTTCGAAATCTATGAAGTTAGCATATTTTCAGAAAACTTTGTGATCTTCTAGAACTAGGAACAAGCCAATATTCATGGTGATCTTGTAGATATAAGAACAAACCAAATATCACTAAAAATTCCACGGACTTCCATGACATGACATTCTGTCATTACTGCATGTAGTCCTTTTTGTCTGTCTGATCTGTATATTTTGCATTTATAATGTGATTGATACTGTATTATGTTTATACAACACTCCTGTAGGCCCATCTCATGATCCACCCACAGTATATGTGGCAAAACACCAAGAAAATGCTGCCCAGCACTCAGGGGTAAAAAATGTGACATGCTCAAGAATGCTATTGAAGTCACAGAAACCAGAAGACTCGGATGGCCATACTGAAGAAATTCCAGCAGAAGCATTTCTATGTAAACCTCAGGTACATTTATATGTGATATTTGTCTTTGGTTTCCCACTTCTCACAGCAAGCAGTGTGGATTGTTCCAGTCCTGTTCTTACAGATTCCTTCTAAGTGCCATGTTTTGGCTTTAGCTTTCATTCCTTCCACCTGACATTTGGGGAATTTGTTATTTGGGGTATATGTGTTCTTCTGTTCTTTCTCTATGCCCATACCAATATAACAGAATTTTATGTCTTCTGCACACTGATTTTGTTTGTAATGCAAGGGACCTTCATCATTGGTGGTTAAATGGGACTGTAAAAATGCCACTTAAAGCAAATCTCTAAGTGGAGAACTTCCACCCATAAAAATAATGTGCACGGGTTAATATGGACCAGGACACCTGACAGTACCACAGGTGGGACCCAAACCAGAGAAGGTAGCATGCCATCCATGACATGTTTGACAAACAATTGCTTTCCATAATGTGTTTATAGTAACAGTCTTCAAGTGCACACAATCCCATCTACCACTTCTACACTACATGTTTCGGCAGTATGCTGCCATCTTCAGGTGTATCGATCCGTTAACCATTTCACTGCTTGCCTTTATATGTCCATTTACAAATAATATTAAATTTTTATATGTCCTTATATAATAATAATAAAGTTTATGTATTTAAAACTTGTTAAAACCTATTATCTCATACGTCATATTTTTAAAATTTGTGTGTATTACACAGGTCTGCTACCAAAAAACTGCATAGGATATTTTTACTGTTTCTTATAGATTTTTACTCACTAAAACCGGAAATAATAGTAAAAAAAATCCATCATGTCAATTTTTTTTTGCAAAACTCATATTTTATTTTAATTTTGCATGAAATTTCTCTTCAACATGAAATCTGGTATCTTATTGTTGATTCTAAAAACCATATCCAATAATTATTTCTTACTTTAAAATAATATTTGTAAGAGTGAATCTAAAAAATAATACAAATAGAAAATGGGTGGGATGGGAGGGGGCAGTGGAACGGGTTGGTAGGGTGGGTGTGGTGGTGTGAGGAGCTCAGGCGATCATGTCCCAACACGAAGAAAGCAGTCTTCTGGGCTTTGGCGCCGTGTATATGTGGTGTTAACCGACGTTTCGGAGGAACGTATCGCCCCCATCTTCAGGGTTGAAGAAAAAGTATAGGTAAATCTGCAAGCGACAACACCGTGAGACACGGTAACGCAGACTGAAGAGGATACCGTTAGAGCAGAGAGGGAAGGGGATGAACTGCGAGT